AGCCATCATTGTTGTTTGGCGGGCCCGGGCTGGGGATTCAAACCCGCCACCTTAGGTGTATGTGGCTGGCGCCTTAGCTGCTTGAGCCACAGGTGCCGAGCCATTTTCACATAAATTTTAGCCTTAACTTAGATCTAGGTCTCCTGGAATCCACTCTTGCTTTACCTATAATCTGGTCTTTATAGTGGCCAGAGTTAACTTTTTCTGCAATTAACAAAAAGTGCAAATATTAAGGAAACATTTAAAGTATAGTAAAAGAAACTTTATCCTGAATCATTTGGGAGTAAGTTGTCAATCTGATACTCTTTTTTTTAGAGACAAGAGTCTCACTTTGTCACCCTCAGTTAGAATGATGTGGAGTCACAGCTCACAGCAACCTCCAGCTTTTGGGCTTAGGCGATTCTCTTGCTTCAGCCTCCTATGTAGCTGGGGTCAATCTGATACTGTAATGCAGGGGTCCTCAAACTTTTTAAACAGGGGGCCAGTTCACTGTCCCTCAGACCGCTGGAGGGCCAGACTGCAGGCCCCAGGACGAGTCAGCTGCTAAGCAGGACAGGCAGTGGCGGTAAAAACACCCGGTGGGTCGGATAAATGTCCTTGGCGGGTGGCATGTGGCCTACAGCCTGTAGTTTGAGGACGCCTGCTTTAATGTATACAGTAGAACCTCCATAGTTGAACACCTCCCTCCTATACTGACCACCACAAGTTGACCTAATTTTCATAGACTGGGCATGTGCCACATGTACACATTGGTACAGTGGTCTAGTTCTTTATGTTGACCAGAAATAGTTCCATGGGTGGTCAGTTTACAGAGGTTCTACTGTATTTTTTTATTTGCCACTAAACTAAGGAGGATCTACTGTATTTCTTAATAACAGGAACATTCTCTTTCATAATTATGACATAACCATCAAAATGAAAGAAATTTCCATTGATGTTATTATCATCTAACCTTCAGACCCCATTCCATTTTACCCTGATGATGTGAATTTTATAACAAAAGGCCAGTCTAGAATCATGCACTGAACTTAGTTGTCACATCTTTTAGTTTCTTCTCGGTCAAGGACAGTTCTTTAGTCTTTCCTCAACTTCCTTGACTGTGACATTTTGATAAGAGTAAGGTTATAAATATTAGAAATATGAGCAAAGTGATGCTGTACTCTCCCTGGGTCCTATATGGTGGCTTGTGATTTCATTTTGTTGTATTATTGACATTCACTTAGATCAAAAGATTAAGGTGGTTTCTGTCAGTTCTCTCTACTTCTTGGTAATTTGTATTTTATTTTTGAGACAGAGTTTCACTTTGTCACTGTTGGTACACTGCCATGCAACTGTAGCTCACAGCAACTTCAAACTCTTGGGCTCAAGCAATTCTCTTGCCTCAGCCTCCTGAGTTGCTGGGACTATAGGCACCCACCACAATGCCTGGGGTCTCGCTCTTGCTCAGGCTGGTCTCAAACTCATGAACTCAAGAGATCTGCCTGCTTTGGCCTCCTAGAGTGCTAGGATTACAGGCATGAGCCACCGTCCCTGGTCTCTATTATTCTTTGAGCCTATCCTTGCTCTCTGGCATAAGAAGATGCCCTAGGCTGGGTGCAGTGGCTCATGCCTGTAATCCCAGTACTCTCGGAGGTCCAGCCAGGTGAACTGCCTGAGCTCAGGAGTTGGAGACCAGCCTGAGCCAGAATAAGACCTTGTCTCTAAAAATAGCCAGGTGTTGTGGTGGGCACCTGTAGTCCCAGCTACTTGGAAGGCTGAGGCAAGAGGATCACTTGAGCCTAAGAGTTTGAGGTTGCTGCGAGCTATGATGCCATAGCACTCTACCAATGGCCACAAAGTAAGATTCTGTCTCACTAGAAAAAAAAAAAAGTTCTAGGATCATCTTGTAATTTCCTTGATTCAGCCCTGGAATCATCCACTTCTCTATAGAACCTGCATTCTTTTTTGCGGAAAATGGTATTTAGTGGGTAAGACCGGGGTGTGCTCATTGCTCGGGTATTGCTGTTCTTGAGTCCTCTTAGTGAAAAGAGCTAGGGAACAAATGTATGTACAGTTATATGCCCTTAATGATATTCTGGTCAACTATGGACCACATATACAATAGTGGTCCCAGAAGATTATGATATGTATTTTTACAGTATTTTCCCTATGTTTAGATATACAAATACTGTACTTACCAATGTGTTATAATTGCTTCCAGTATTCAGTATAGTAACATACTGTAAAATTTTGTAGTCTAGTAGTCAACTGGCTATCCCATATAGCTTAGGTATGTAGTAAGCTACGCCATCTAAGTTTGTATATATATTCCATCATGTTCACACAAGAATGAAATTGCCTAATGATGCATTGCTCAGAATGTATCCCTGTTGTTAAGGAACGTATGACTACATGTTATATCCACTTATATGTATATTATCCCCCATTATATGTGTGTACACAGATGCACATTTCTACTAATGTTTATTTCTACATCTATATATGAAAACCTGAGTTCTAATTCTGGTCCGATACCACAGTTCATTCTATTTGCCTTCTATGTTTGTAACTCTTTTCTCTAACAGGGAGCAACTTGACTCCCATTTTCCTTATTATATTTATTTATTGACCAATCCCTTTGGATGTAACTAATCTTCCATTTCTGTGGCCAGCTATTCCCAATGCAGATGCCCACTTTTTTGGCCGGATTCCTCATTCTAAGCCACACTTCATGCACCATCTCCCCATCCCCAACACACGGAGACATCCTCCTCATGCTGCCTGGGGTCATACTACCATGACAGGTTGGCTCCTACATATATATATATACCCTTCAGCCTGCATGGCTCTGATTCTCTGAACTCCGTGTTGCCCTTCTACATGGACATCCTCCTCACAGTACTTGGGATCTGAGACCCCATTATTGGGCCACTGTGACTCCCCACTCCTACTCCCTTGCCACAGCTATGAATGCCTACCTCGCTCTGCCCCACCTAGTAACTTTAGGAGTAGAGTTGTTAGGGAATGGAAGCAGAGATTTTAATTTTTTAAACATGTAAATTCTTTGTTTAAAATTTTCAAATAGACTCTCATCACACTTAAAATCCAAACAACATTCTCAGGCACTTTTAAGCCCTGCATGATCTGATCACTGTCTGTCTCTCAAACCTCACTCTGTACCATTCTTCCCCTTCAACACTATCCTCCAGGCACACAGACCCTTATTGTTTCCTAGAACTTGGCCAACTCACTCTTAACCTGGGCCTTTGTATATGAGCTGCTTCCTCAGTTTGGAACGTTCTTACCACTGATTTGGACATCAGACTTTTCCTGATCTTTCAATCTAAGTAACTACTCAGTCCCTCTCTCCTATCCATCACCCAATTTGAGTTCTATTTTCACAATAGTTACTACTATCTGATAATTTCTTTCTTTCTTTCTTTTTTTTTTTTGCAGTTTTTGGCTGGGGCTGGGTTTGAACCCACCACCTCCAGCATATGAGGCTGGCACCCCACCCCTTTGAGCCACAGGCGCCACCCTGATAATTTCTTGCTTACTTGTTTCTGTCCACTAAAATCTGAGCACATTCTTTGAGAGTTGGTCCCCCTTTGCTGCTGCTGTTATCTTCTAGCCAGTAGTGAATGAATACAACTAGAAAAATGCAAAGCTCTTCTAAAGCTATATCCTCTGAGGCAAATGATGACTGAGTGGCCCCTGAGCACTTTTTTCCTCATGGCAGTACTGAACATTGCATGTATCCTCTAAATTCTATGATTCCATCAGTGTGTAACCCATCACTTTTATAGCCCCTATATCCACTAAGGGGTTCCCTATCATGGGAGCACCCCCATACCTGGGTCAGAGCTTGGATACTCGTGTTGATGTCACCACTGGCTACTTGGGAGATAATGAAATTGATTGTGGATGCTGTATTACTGTGCATGTCATCGAAGTGTGGAGAGACAGCCCGGATCCTAGACAGCAGAGCAAAGGGAAAACGTCAATCTCTATTATAAGACATCCCAGTAAGTTGGAGTTATGCAATTAACCTCTAGATCCAGGTCTTAGGAAAAAACTATCACTCAGGAAATCAGTTCTAAAACATTTTCACTGCACACTACCACAGAAGGCTCATTTCACTTAGGCACACTCATCATCATGAACTTTTTATGTTTACATGAAAGAGGTTTAACTTACTTGGGTTCTGGAATAAGGACTGGTTCAAAAATGTCATCTAGTTTGTGTTGGACAAGTTCTGGCATTTCACACCGGACTGTGCCACTGTCATTCTCAATCTCATCTAGATCCAGCTGGAATTCTCGGCGGACCATCTGGGCTGCCTCAGGATGCCCACTCATGCTTCGGGCTTGGCTAGGGGAAGCAAAAGGAGGCTCCTGAACTAAGAGATTTCTTAACAAAAGGCAAGAGTGGCACTGCACTGCCAGTTGTCCCAAAGCTTCAGGACAGATGTTCAACTTCTGGTTTCAGCCCCCCTGAATGATTTAAGTCCTTAAGTCTAAGCAGGTGCCTTAAATGGGCAGCAGCTTGATTCATGAATATCCTAAGTGAGCAGATAACTTTAACTTGTAACTTTAATTTACATCACTTGCCAAGTTATAAATATTCTTTTTAGTTTACTAAAGCTAGCAAACCTTGTACTTCTACTCCAGATAAGGCAGAAAATAATAATAAAGCATACTTATATTAACCCAAAGCTCACTACATATGAGCAAATATATAAGATAAATCTAGACTGGCTGGTTCTTTTTTTTTTTTTTTTTGAGAAAGAAGCTTAAGCTGTCCCCCTGGGTAGAGTGCCGTGGCATTACAGCTCACAGCAACCTCCAACTCCTGGGCTCAAGCGAGTCTCTTGCCTCTGCCTCCCAAGTAGCTGGGACCACAGGCGCCCGCCACAATGCCCGGCTATTTTTTGGTTGCAGCCGTCATTGTTGTTTGGTGGGTCTGGGCTGGGGATTCGAACCCGCCACCTTAGGTGTACGTGGCTGGCGCCTTAGCCGGTTGAGCTATAGGCGCTGAGCCAACTGGCTGGTTCTTTACTACCAAGTTAACCAGTTTAAGTTTTCGTAATCATAAGCATCATTCCATGCAGTATTCAGTACATTTTATACTTTTAGGGACAGCCAGTCACCTGTTTTTAGGAATATTCACTCCTAACAGGCCATTCTCCACATCTAAGAAATAGAGATTCAAAGTTTCCAAATTCAAATTGGTTAAAATTATACTCATGACACAACCCAAAATAGAGCTGTCTTGCTTAGGAGGCAGTATTTTGAGTCCCTAAGCCAATTCTGGGTTGCATGCATATTATTTAGCCTTATCTCAAGAACAGGAAACTGAACACAACCTAGTATAACACAAGAAAGAAGGTGAATCAACATTTTAGCCACATTATACTGAGTTGTCATTTTTTTTCTAGCCACTAAACTTTCATGGAAGGCCTAGTTCATGGGATACTAATGGCCACCCTCTATCTTGGTGATAAATTCTAAGCCAGTCGCCCTCCAGAGGGGATGAATCCAAGTCAGAAGTTAGAAAGATATAAGAGCCCTGCTAATGAGAAATTAGCAGGCAGTACTTACATCCTATAAGTGCGATACATAATTCTGTCCACGGAAAAGCAGTGAAAGAAGGCACAAGACCATTTAGAAGTGGTTTTGAGACAAAGACAAAGACAATGAAGACTGAAGGATTAAACATTTGGTTACAAGACATTTACTCAGACACTCTGTCATGCATGATAATGGCTGCAAGAACTTAAGATTATGTCACGGGACAAGCTCTGAGCACACAAGGCAAAGCACAGAAATACTTTCAGACAATTGTTTCTATATACATACTTGAGTTTGGAAGACATGTCCTCAGGCAATCCCTTGCGTAACATGTTGGCATTGGAGCTTATATTCTGTGTGCGCTGAGGTTTCTCTTCCACCTGTTTTATTGGTGCAGCAGAAGGCCTCTTTGCTGACCGCTTAATCCTCTCCTCAAGCATGCTCATATCCTTTTCAGAAAGCTATAAAAAGTCAAATTTAATTTATTAGCATATCCATCTACTAAGATATGAGGAGAATCTTTTTTTTTTTTTTTTGAGACAGTCTCAGGTTGTTGCCCTAGGTAGAGTGCTGTGGCATCATAGCTCAAAGCAACCTACAATTCTTGGGCTCAAGTGATCCTCTTGCCTCAGTTTTTCTATTTTTTAGTAGAGACATGGTCCTGCTTTTGCTCAGGCTGGTGTTGAACTCATGAGCTCAAACTATCCACCATCTCAGTTTCCCAGAGTGCTAGGAATTACAGGCATGAGCCACCATGCCTGGCATGAGGAGAATTTATTTATTTATTTATTTATTTATTTATTTTTGAGACAGAGCCTCAAGCTGTCCCCCTGGGTAGAGTGCCGTGGCATTACAGCTCACAGCAACCTCCAACTCCTGGGCTCAAGCGAGTCT